ATTCATTACCAGGGTTTTTTTTTTTTTGCAGAAATCCAGAAAACTCTTTAATATAAAGTGTGTGTGTGTCACAAGTATCCAGCTAGCTTAACATTTTGCAGTTACCCTTATTTTCTTACATACTTACATGAATAGATGCATTCCACTTGTATATGTTTAAAGTGGACCTATCATGCTATATTTGAAAAATATATTGTAGGGCCATACCTATACAAAACATGTCTGTGAAGTGTTTTGCTTCAAATACCAAACAAATCACCCATTGTAGCCATGCCTCATACTGCTCATACCCCTCTATTACAGCCCTGTTCCAAACAGGCTGATTCTGCTGCTAGCCACGCCCCTTTGTAGCTGCTGCTAGCCACGCCCCTTTGTAGCGTCACGCAGCTTTCCCCTGCTAGAGAGTTTTCTACGGGGAGAAGCTCAGCTAAATGCTGCGGTGATTAAATGCCAGGTTATGCTCCTAACCACTTCTAGCTTTATTTCTGAAACAGTATGGAGCTCAAACCTTTCTGTCTCGCAGGGTTTACCACAAGGACATTAAGTTACACATATTCTCTCCAGTAGCCTACAGCGTTAGCTCCATGGTTAGCTCTGAGTGTTAGCATGCTTGCTAATGTAAACACGGAGCATATTACTCCCAAAACACGCCGCGCATTGTTTCTGATTCAGCACATAGCTTGACATGTTCTTTCTTAAGTGTTTACCGCTAGAACAGTGCCATTATATGTATTATATATATAACAACTTTACTCTAAGTGCCTCCTGCAGACATCCCGCTGAATACACAGACACACAGCTGCGACTGTATACGGAGACGATAGGTTGGGACGTGTCACGTGTGCCGGAGACGATAGGTTGGGACGTGTCACGTGTGCCGGAGACGATAGGTTGGAACGTGTCACGTGTGCCGGAGACGATAGGTTGGAACGTGTCACGTGTGCCGGAGACGATAGGTTGGGACGTGTCACGTGTGCCGGAGACGATAGGTGCGCACGGAGGAAAAGAGAAAGGGTTTTGTTTTCTGACACTTTGTGAGTTCCCTGACACACCGGGGACACCTATTTATGTATAAAAGACAACAAAAAGTGCATTTTGCATAATAGGTCCCCTTTAAGTAAAATACGAGGCAACAGGTGTGAGGTACAAGGGAGCTGCTTAGCTTAGCATAAAGACTGGGAACAAGGGGAAAGGGCTATAAAGTGATATTGTTATAGATTGACAGCTCAAAATTACATAAAATAACTTCCCCCCCCCCCCCCCCCCCCCCCGGTCAAAAGCAGTCCAACATGAGTCATTTTACCGAAAAGTACATGCCTGATATCCTCTTAAACAGGACAGTAAAACAGGAAGTTAATCTCATTCTCAATTTCTCTTCCAGGCGTCCTGTGTGTTGCTGTGCACATTGTGTTAAAATTATAACTTCAGTAAAAGTTCAACACTGTAGTTTTTACCAATGTTCAACAGAGCGCATGTTCACAGTGAAAACTGATTTTAAGCCTCATATTTAATTGTTCTTTTGGTTGTTTCCAGATTGAGCACGAAGCAAAATGTTGCCCCTCATTAGAAGTCGATTTGCGCAGGAATTTGTGTGTGTAGTCTGTTGGTATTTACTCAATTTGAGTCAAAAACCGTGTGAAGTCTTCTCTCAAAATCAATGTGATCATGCACTGAAAATGTGCTTAGTCGGCTAACTCCAATGTCAAGGATATGATGATTGATCATATATTTACTGTAGAAATGATCAATTTCAACCAAGCTGTGCCGTGTGTGAACTGGATTCTAATGAGAAATCTAACTTCTAAAGAGTTCACACTAGTATTTATTAGATCTCTATACTTTTACACCATCTTAAGAATCAACTTTTTCTTTCCAAGCCCCCTTTAAGACTCATATCTGTGTAACCTTTTTATTTAAACTCCCGATAATGCTCACACATTGTCAGTGGTGACATTTCCCTCTGTTTGCCTTTTCCTAATTAGCCGTCTCTTCCGCTGGCCTGGCACAGTGACGGCCAATCAGTGGGCCGCTCATTACCCAGGGTTCATTGCAGGGTCTTTGTCAAATGAAGAGTGAAAGTGACAGCTCAATCTAACCTCAGCAATAAGCTCCGCATGGCCGCCTCCTCACTGATAGAGGACTCAACTTTTCTATCATCGGGATGGCAGTGGAGAGTTAATTGAAATGCCACCATGTTCTGTCTTTTTTTATGTCTTCTTCTTATTTAACTTTCTCTTGTTTCTGCCTTAGTTCTGGATGTCAGCGCTGGCCACCACCATCCCTGTGCCCTGCGGAGCCTTCATGCCAGTATTCGTCATTGGTAAGAATCTGTGTGTGTGTGTGTGTGTGTGTGTGTGTGTGTGTGTGTGTGTGTGTGTGTGTGTGTGTGTGTGTGTGTGTGTGTGTGTGTGTGTGTGTGTGTGTGTGTGTGTGTGTGTGTGTGTGTGTGTGTGTGTGTGTGTGTGTGTGTGTGTGTGTGTGTGTGTGTGTGTGTGTGGTGTGTGTGTGTGTGTGTGTGTGTGTGTGTGTGTGTGTGTGTGTGTGTGTGTGTGTGTGTGTGTGTGTGTGTGTGTGTGTGTGTGTGTGTGTGTGTGTGTGTGCCGGCCTGTGAGTGTGTGTTTGTGTGTGTAGTGCAATGTAAGTACAATTGTCTGTGAGAGTGAAGTTGCTGAGAGTTACACGAGTAGATTGATACCACACTTGTATATATGAGTTTTAATTGTAGCTCAGCCGTTTAGCCTAGCTTAGCATAAGAAGCAGTGTGTGTTAATGAGTGTGTGTTTGTATTTGTGTGTGTAGTGCAGTGAAAGTAAGTTCATCTGTGATAGTGAGGTTGATGAAAGGTACAAGAGTAGATTGATACCACACTTGTATATATGAGTTAAAACTGAAGCTACAGTTTTAATTGTAGCTTAGCCGTTTAGCATAGCTTAGCATAAGAAGCTGTGTGTGTGTGTGTGCATGAGCGTGTGTGTTAGAGCAGCCAAGGAAAATGTGTCTGTGAGAGTGAAGTTGCACGAGAGGTACACGAGCAGATTGATACCACACTTGTATATGTCCGTTAAAACTGAAATGATGACCAATTAGCCTAGCTTAGCATAAATACAGACTGGAAATGAGGTAAAAACTGCTAGCCTGGATCGGTCCAAATATTTACATACCAACACTACAAAAGCGTACAAATTAACATAATAAGCCACGCCTGTCTAATCAGTCACTGGGAGGTAACCAGTACTTTTTATTCAAATACTTAAACTACATATTCTGCACTTGTACTTCAATATTTACTGGTTATTGAGCATTTGTACATTGCTTTATTACTACTTTCTTTCTTATATCACTAGTTATTGTTCCCATTGTTGATTTGTTGTGTGTGTGTGATGTGTGTGTGTGTGTGTGTGTGTGTGTGTGTGTGTGTGTGTGTGTGTGTGTGTGTGTGTGTGTGTGTGTGTGTGTGTGTGTGTGTGTGTGTGTGTGTGTGTGTGTGTGTGTGTGTGTGTGTGTGTGTGTGTGTGTGTGTGTGTGTGTGTGTGTGTGTGTGTGTGTGTGTGTGTGTGTGTGTGTGTGTGTGTGTGTGTGTGTGTGTGTGTGTGTGTGTGTGTGTGTGTGTGTGTGTGTGTGTGTGTGTGGGTGTGTGTGTATCAGGGGCAGCGTTTGGTCGTCTGGTTGGAGAAAGCATGGCAGCCTGGTTCCCAGATGGCATCCACACAGATGGCACCATCTACCCGATAGTGCCGGGAGGCTACGCTGTCGTGGGTAAGTTAGAGTCACAAACATGGCACCCTACTCTCTGTTTTCTCACTTTCTAAAGTGTTATATAATGTTTTTGTTTGACTCTTTTCCTCAAAGCCATTTTAAGTTTTGCTCTAGCTCTTAAAATATAGGAAAAACATGATAAGGATTCACTTCCTGGTTCTTCTTTTTGGACATGAAACACTCAGTTAAATGGTTTTATTGAGGGTTTGCATTACAAGTCTTCTTATATATGTTCGATATAACTCTCAAGTCAATCAACTTGTGTCCAGATTAAAGGGGACCTACAGTATCATGCAAAATGCACTTTTGTACGTCTTGTATACATGAATATGTGTCCCCGGTGTTCCAGGGAACTCACCAAGTGTCAGAAAACACAACCCTCTCTATTTTCCTCCATACCCAAATCTCTAAAAAAGGGGCTGCAACGGATCTGATAAAAACTGATCCAGATTTGAACACTGTCCTGACGTCAGGACGGTGGCACTACGGCTATTGGGCCAACTCCACCAATCAGGAGGAGACAGCCACGGCCATTGCCGTTCGAAAGCGCTGGAGACGCTGTAGTACATATGCCAGGCCTGTAGGTGGTGCTGTTCTCACTGAATCAGCCCTTGCTAAAACAGGGGTAAAAAATGTCAAATTGAGCAAAATGAGGCATGGCTAAAATGCATGATCTGTTTGGTATTTTGAAAAAAAAAAAGTATAAATATGCCTTATATAGGTATGGTCCTACACTATATGATTCAAATATAGCATGATAGGTCCACTTTAAATGATGAATATCTGTGATTGCATCAGTTTTGTGATCCAGACGATGTGTTTTTTTACTACATTAGTTTCCTGTGAGGCATCAGTGGCTCCACTTGAGTAAAATAGACTTCTCTAGACACCGTTCAAAGAAAATAAATCAAGATAAATATTTCCTCCAGCTCCAGGTTAAGACTCTAACCAGACTCTGATGAAAGGAGGCACAGGATATGATCAGACTCAAACACTCGAGACAGAATCAAATTAAGTCCAGCAGAAGCTTGAAATATGCCTGCTAAACATTTCAGACACCATCCGACAAACAACACACTTTCACAGCCCGAATGCTCAGGATCTACTTAAAAGTTTAGAAGATGAAAAAGCATCTTGTGAATTTAAAACTAAGGAAAAGAAAGGGGACCAGTGGAGTTGTTGTTGGCCCTTGATTCATGGAATAAAATGTGGCATATAATCGAATGTATTCTCCAACTTCTGGCTCAGTTTTAGTGAATTGAATTGTTTAGGTATTTCCCATTTCTCTACTCAACATTATCTTTTTTCAGGGACGTTATGTGTCTGTCATGGTTTGAGTGACTGTTTGTTTGTCAGCAAAACTACGGGTAAACTACTGTTTTTTTTTTTTTTGGAGAGATCTGAATTACAGGGCGGACATTTCGAAATGGGAAATTTGTTAAAATAAAAAAAACGCAATACATTTTAGGTCCTGCCAACGCCATCTGTCTATCAATAACTACACTCTCTTAAAGGTCCCCTATTATACTATTTTTCAACATTATATCACAGATCTCAGATATATACAGAGCCTGTCTCTGATTGGCTGAAACACCAAACAGATCATTGCAGCATTACCCATAATCCCCTCTGTTTCAGCCCTGTTTCCAAAGTGCTGATTCTCTGTCTGTTACTTTAGATGAAAATAAGGAGCCCCTCCCCACGCCCCTCTGAGAGACATTTGGTTAAAAAGAACTCAATGGTGCTCTAGGAGGAGATTCAGGTGATAAGGTGGGGGGGGGGTTACCTTGGTTGCTGATTGGCTAATGGTTACACAAGACAAAACATCGTTATGACATCACAAAGTGGCCAAAATCTGATCAGCTCATTTTCAGACAGGTTTTTATAAAAATGGATCAGGACAAAAAGAGAGAGAATCTTTGTTCCTGAAACTTTCAGAGTCTCTTTCCACAGAGGGGACACATGTTGATGTAGAAGAGACATGAAGAAGAGGGGACACATGTTGATGTAGAAGAGACATGAAGAAGAGGGGACACATGTTGATGTAGAAGAGACATGAAGAAGAGGGGACACATGTTGATGTAGAAGAGACATGAAGAAGAGGGGACACATGTTGATGTAGAAGAGACATGAAGAAGAGGGGACACATGGTGATGTAGAAGAGACGTGAAGAAGAGGGGACACATGTTGATGTAGAAGAGACATGAAGAAGAGGGGACACATGTTGATGAAGAAGAGACATGAAGAAGAGGGGACACATGTTGATGTAGAAGAGACGTGAAGAAGAGGGGACACATGTTGATGTAGAAGAGACATGAAGAAGAGGGGACACATGTTGATGTAGAAGAGACATGAAGAAGAGGGGACACATGTTGATGTAGAAGAGACATGAAGAAGAGGGGACACATGTTGATGTAGAAGAGACATGAAGAAGAGGGGACACATGTTGATGTAGAAGAGACATGAAGAAGAGGGGACACATGTTGATGAAGAAGAGACATGAAGAAGAGGGGACACATGTTGATGTAGAGGAGACATGAAGAAGAGGGGACACATGTTGATGTAGAAGAGACATGAAGAAGAGGGGACACATGTTGATGTAGAAGAGACATGAAGAAGAGGGGACACATGTTGATGTAGAAGAGACATGAAGAAGAGGGGACACATGTTGATGTAGAAGAGACATGAAGAAGAGGAGACACATGTTGATGTAGAAGAGACATGAAGAAGAGGGGACACATGTTGATGTAGAAGAGACATGAAGAAGAGGGGACACATGTTGATGTAGAAGAGACATGAAGAAGAGGAGACACATGTTGATGTAGAAGAGACATGAAGAAGAGGGGACACATGTTGATGTAGAAGAGACATGAAGAAGAGGAGACACATGTTGATGTAGAAGAGACATGAAGAAGAGGAGACACATGTTGATGTAGAAGAGACATGAAGAAGAGGGGACACATGTTGATGTAGAAGAGACATGAAGAAGAGGGGACACATGTTGATGTAGAAGAGACATGAAGAAGAGGGGACACATGTTGATGTAGAAGAGACATGAAGAAGAGGGGACACATGTTGATGTAGAAGAGACATGAAGAAGAGGGGACACATGTTGATGAAGAAGAGACATGAAGAAGAGGGGACACATGTGGATGTAGAAGAGACATGAAGAAGAGGGGACACATGTTGATGTAGAAGAGACATGAAGAAGAGGGGACACATGTTGATGTAGAAGAGACATGAAGAAGAGGGGACACATGTTGATGTAGAAGAGACATGAAGAAGAGGGGACACATGTTGATGTAGAAGAGACATGAAGAAGAGGGGACACATGTTGATGAAGAAGAGACATGAAGAAGAGGGGACACATGTTGATGTAGAAGAGACATGAAGAAGTGGATTTTGCATAATAAGCGACCTTTAAAAAACCGAATACAGATGATCAAATGTAATATATTCATCTTTGTTATAGAGGACAGCACCTGATCTAGATAGGGTGTGTTCCTGTAGTCACTTGCATCCCCTAATGAAGCAGCGTGGCTAATGAGATGCGGTGCTGTTGTTGTGCGTCCTCCGCTGTGCGACCTGTTGACAGCCGTGCTCATCGTGCCTCTGTTTCCCTGTTGTTGTTGATTATCTGTTGTTGCACAGTAGCTGGTGACTCAGACCTCTTTCATCTCTCACCCTCTCGCTTTAAGGGCTAAATGTTAGGATTGGCAGAAGCATTTATGAGAGGAGGAGAGG